TCTGTGCTCAGTGGGGCATCTGCTTGAGATTCTTTCCCTCTGCTGCCCCACCCCACCACTTGCGCTTGCTCGAGCTCTCTCTCTCTCAAATAAATAAATAAATCTCGAGGGGGAAAAAAGTATCTGTGTAATATATTCAAGGTTGGAGAGGACCAAGCAGGACTGAGGGAAGCTGACTCTTCCCCAACAACACAGGGTTCTGTGGGAGAGGAGATGGCAGGGCCATGAACTGGGAGACGTGCCCCCGCCAAGGGACTGGTGGGATGGCCACTCCCGGCCAATCCTGTAGGGGCTCGGACCTGTGGGATGCTGGTACCTCTTGTATCCCCTGTGCCCCCGCTTACCCTTCTTCTTAACTCTCCTACCCCTTGCCTCACTGCCCTATTACAACCTTCAGGGTCCCTTCGTGGCCCTCTATGCCCCCTGAACCCCTCAGAACCTCCTTATGCCCTTCCATTACTTCCTTATCCCCTCAGGTATGCTTCCAGCTGGGCTGCCCTCTTTGGCCCCTGCCACTTGGTTACCTGGGCTGCAAAGGTGCCAAGCTGGGAAGCAGGCTGTGGAGGTGGCGGCTCAGATCTCTAGCCCCTGAAGCCAGGTGGAGAATTTGTCGTGGCCTCGTGAGGGCGAGGATATGGTGCAAAGCACAAGTGAGCGGGACTGAGCTGGACTGGGTGGAGACAGCTGCCCAAAAGGGATTGGGGTTTAAGGGATGGCCGGGGACTCTGCTGCCTCCAGGGTGGTCAGGTGGCTGGAGGGGGAGGGAAGAGCTGACTTCGGCACCATGTAGGCTCAATTTCACACCCACTTCTGCTGTTTGTTGTGTGTGGGTATCCTCGGACAGTAAGTTGCTCTCTGAGCCTCTGTTTCCTTATCTGTAAAATGGGGACAATGATAGCTTGGCCCCAGGGTTTTGGTGGTAATGAAGTGAGATAATATGTGGTTTCCTGGGGGCCCTGAAGCTAACCAGATGAATTAAAGGTGGGAAAACAGCTTCAGACAGTCCTCTTATTCCCACATACATGGATGGACTAAAACGATATCAAGAAAAGAAAGGAGGCTATGTGTTTGGCTGCACAAAGAGAGAAGTAGTAGCATCTACTGCCTGCCTGGGTCTCCTAATCTTCTGTCCCTGGTGCTAGGGCAGAACTCACTCTGCACTTGGTGTTCTCCCTGTGACGCAGGTGGGCATCGATGGGGACTCCCTCCCATGGCACCTCCATGCACTGGCTACACGCCCATCCTCTGCTCACCACCTCCCCCAGCTATCTCTCTTTTGTACATCAAGGTCTTTGCGAGCCCTGCTCCTCAAAGTGTGGCCAAGGACCAAGAGCACCAGCTCGTTAGAGGCTGGGTGCTTGTTAGAAATGCAGAAGCCCACCCCAGACCTACTGAATCAAAATCTGCATTTTTAACAAGATCTCCGTAGGATTCAACCCCCAGAGATTCACGTGCACATTAAAGGCTGAGCAGCACTAGGTGAGAGATTTAGAGCACCTCCATCTAAAATGCATGAGATTCACAACTTTCAAGTTTGATGGTGTTTGATGCTGTCACTGGAAATTTTATCTCAAGCTACAAGAGCACATCCACATAATATTTGGATATTGGCATTTCATTCATCCTGGGTGGGTATATTCCTGATCTCTGTAATATGACCCTATATTAATTTTATTTTTTTTAAAGATTTTACTTATTTATTTGACAGAGAGAGACACAGCGAGAGAGGGAACACAAGCAGGGGGAGTGGGAGAGGGAGAAGCAGGCTTCCCGCGGAGCAGGGAGCCCGATGCGGGACTCAATCCCAGGACCCTGGGATCACGACCTGAGCCGAAGGCAGACGCTTAACGACTGAGCCACCCAGGCGCCCCTTAATTTTCTTTTCTTTAACTAAATCATTTAGCCGAAATACTACAGAATACAGTTTTAAAGGTAAATCACTTTTAAGCTCTCAATAGAAGACTCTTTTCTATGCTTCTCCATTCCCAGATCAACCACTTTTAATTCTGTTATTTCTCCTTATATTTACCTCTATACTTCTGTTGCTATTTCCTAATTTTTCTATGTCTAAATGTTATCTGTAGGTTTCCTGCTATGGAATTAAGGATTCTGCTTTCTTACCACCCTCCCCAACATATATCTTCAAGTACACAAACAAACTCCTTCCATCCTCCCAAAGAGCTAAGTCACCGGAGTCAATATTCATTGCTTATATATGACCATGTAAATATTATTGTCCAACTTTTTGTGTTTCCTGGAGTTAGCACTACTTTGTTTTATCATTTGCTTGGTTTTCTAGGCATCAATTACTAATTTAATCCCAAAGCGACCCACAGAACTGAACATTTTGAACATATCTAAAAACCACAGATAATTTCATTTTCTTCTGGAGACATCCCTCCTTGGAGCATCTTGCTTTTGATTCCAGCCTGAGTTGTTTGCTTTCTTTACTCGGAAGCACGGCTGACATCCCAAGCCCTTCTCATCATTGCTTTCCTGCTTTTAGCCTCATCTCTTGACTCCCATATTGTCCTCTTAGTTTAATGCCTTGTTTTGCTGAAGCACATCCTCCAGTAGCTTTCTAGGAAAGAGTGTATACGAGGTCAAATTTTTGAGAACTTTCACGGCTTAGAATGTCTTTATTCTACTCTTGTACTTGATAATCATTTGGACAGATCTATGTTTTTAGGTTGGAAATCATTTTCCCTCAGAATTCTGCAGGCATCGCTTTATTACTCTGGGAAGAGCCAGAGCAGAAACAATCGATGAATGGTCCCAAGGGCCCCAGGACCATTGGCTCTATGCCAATGATGTCAAGTCCACCAGGCTTGAGTCTTTGGACAGGGCCCGCTGGAGGCGGGTACGCCGCCTGATTCTTGCCTGCTCCTCTCCTGGGGACTGTATGGCCACTGGCCCCTTCCCCCAGCCCCATCATTTTTTCCCTCAAAGTATGAGATGTGGAAAGGATTCTGTTCTTAATTATGATCCACTTCTACCCTTGCCTCTTGTCACTAATCTGAGATGTGCTGGAACCTCTGCAGCCACCACCCATTTACAGATTATCATGGGGATAGGTTTCCTTTTCAGACGATCAGTCCCTTCCTTATATGTTCATCTGCCTTACTTTCATTCTCAGAGGGTAACTTTAGCCTCCGGTTTGGGGGTTACTATGTTGAAGCCCTCTTACATTACCTATGTCATTCCTGGAATCCCAGTATCTGAAACACTTCCCACAGACCACAGGGCTTAGAAACAGCCCCCTCCTGCCCCACCCTGTAGCAGTCCTGTGGGAGCCCAGCCCCAGAAAGTCTCAGGGTGCTTCCTGGCAGAGCCTGCCTCTGCATTTCAGGGCTGTAGTCCTGAAAATTCCCCCACAAGGGCCCACAGGCATCCCCCAGCTCTCAGGGGAGAGAGAGCTGCTGACAGGAAGATTGAATGATTGCCCCTGGACACAGAGCTCTGGGAACCCTCAGGAGAAAGAAAGCAGTCCTTCCTCTCTTGCTCAGCTGCCCACGTGATGATGGGGTTGGAATGCCTTCCTGGTAACTCAGATCCTCACGGGGGCCCTGGGGCAGAGAATTCACGAAGACCAGAGGATGAGTCTTAGTTCTCAGAAATCACTGACTCCCTTCTGACTTAGCCCCACCTAAACCACCAGCTGCTTAGGAGGCCAAAACCAGCAACAGCCCCCTCTGTACCCCAGGGCCCCACCTGGCAATAGGTCACAATGCCCCAGCTGCCCAGTCCCAGAATGGCTGACTGGAGTGGGAGATGAGGAGGGTGTGGTGGGTGGGTGTGTGGGGAGGGGGGATTCCCACAGAGCTAACTCTTGAGTGTCTGCCAGGGCCTCGCCCCCTCCCAGGCCCCCCCCAACACTAGTCCTTCCTGTCACCTCCACCTCTCTCCATGGCCCAGCTCTGCTCACCCATGTGCAAAGCCCTTCCTTATCCTATCCCAGTCCCCCCCAGAGGCCTGGGTGCTGGGGAGGGGTCGCATAGTCCAGTGGGTCCATGCATGTCCCCCTGGGGCCCTAGCGTGGCCCAGCTCCGGGACAGTGTCCTAGGGCTGGGGGCATGGGGGCTGACAGCTGGCTGGCCCAGCCTCGCTGCTGCTGGTCAGCTTCCTGGCCCCCGACCTGCTCCACTGGTTAAGTGTGCAGAGCCCAGCAGGCGGGCGATCGGCCAACCTCCCGAGGCCCCACCGCCACCCTCTCTGTCCACAGGCCCACAGGCCCCCCGCAGACACTCCTCCCGGGAGGCTGGAGTCAGGGGGCCGCACTCCTGCCTGCGGTGGCAGTCATGGAACGACTCGGCCCCCAGGAGGCCCTGCTACTGGCACTCCTGGGCCTGGGGCTGCTCCTGGGGGCCTGGGGCTGCTCCTGGGAGCCTGCGGCGTGCCCCTGGCCCTGCCTGGCCTGGCCTTCCGCCCCCATCCAGAAATACACTGGCCCCGCTGCTTCCCCAGATCGCCTTTTCCTCCGTCCTGGGTTGAGCAGGCAGGAGGGAACCCCTTTATCTCCAGCCTGAACTGCAGGGGCCCTTTGGCCCCCCAGCATGGGTGGCGGATACCTGGGTCTGCATCTGAGACAGCAAGAGAAGGCGGGGTCAAGGGACAGGGAGCCAGGGCAGGATGTGGCGGCCACCTCTGAGCTTGTGGGTTTGTGGGGGTGGCCATTCTGGCCTCCTCTGTGGTTCTGGAGAATGGGTGGCCAGAAAGACTTACAGGAGAGCAGAGTGGGGTTGGATATCAGTTAGCAGGGTAGGAACAGGGATCCAGAGAGGGCTTCCCACAAGAAAGCATGAGAATCTGTGTCTGGGGGCTCACCAGACACCCCTGCCAGCCTGGAGGGTCCGTGGAGAGGGATTCAGGTGAGCCTCACATCCTGCAGTGGCTCCTCTCTTGGCGGGACCCCACCCCCACCCGCGTCACAATGGGGATCCTTGGGGGCGGGCAGGGGGGTGAGGGACCGGGGGGCGGGGGGGGTGGGGGGGCTCCACTCTGGCTGCTAGGCCATCCTGGGCGCTGCAGGAAGCAACATGACTTAGGTGGCTCTGCCCGGAGGTAAGATCCAGGCCCCAGCTCAAAGTCCCAGCCCGCCCACGCTGGTCCCCTCCTGATCCCTGCATCCGCCCCCCCCCCCCGCCTGCCTGGAGGCCCCAGGGTCTCCAGGGCTGCTCCTGCAGCTGGCCTGGCCCTCTCCGCAGGTGCACCAGCCATGACACCGCAGCCGCAGGTGGAGACAGATGCCATCGGGGCCGGCGAGGGGCCGCAGCGGGCCGCGCCCTGGTCGGCCTGGGCCACGCGTCAGGCCTGGGTGCGCTGGTGCCTGTGCCACGTGCCTCAGAGCTGGGCCCAGTGGTGGGCCACGTCGGGCTGGCGGCAGCCACTCCAGCGTGTGCTGTGGGGGCTGGAGGGGATCCTCTACCTGCTGCTGGCGCTGATGCTGTGCCACGCGCTCTTCACCACGGGCTCCTACCTGCTGAGCTCCCTGTGGCCCGTCGTGGCCGCCGCATGGCGCCATCTGCTGCCAGCCATCCTGCTGCTGGTGCTCAGCGCCCTCCCCACCCTGCTTTTCACCGCCTCCTTCCTGCTGCTTTTCTCCACGCTGCTGAGCCTCGTGGGCCTCCTCACCTCCATGTCTCACCCAGACTACACTCAGGACTTGGACCAATAGAAGGGCAACCCCATCCCGCTGCCTGTGTCTGTTGAGCCCTGGCCTAGGGCCTGAGGCCCCAGGGAGGGGGAGGGCAGTGGCTTCAGCAGGCCCCAGACCCCACCCCCTCAGGCCCCCCAGCCCCGCCCCTGCCCCGTCCCTAGCACTGCTCGGGCCAGGCATGATGTGGCCTAGAGCTGGCCGGGTAGACCGGCCCGACCTCTGGCCAACTCCCTCAAGCCGATGCTCCAGGTCCTCAGTGTGGGGCATCGGGGGCTTTGAGAAGAAGGGGCAGGGCAGAAGAGGGAGCCAGGGGCAGAGCGTGGCCAAGCCGCCGAGAGTTCCCACAAGGGTGTGGTGACACCACCAGGGCTCCCTTGGCAACTGGCAGCTGCTTTTCCTCACAGATGCTCAGCTGTCTCAGCCGCAGACTCATTGAGAACTTCTAGCTCTGTAGCCCTGGTACTAACGCCCCTCTTTCCCCAAGCTCTAGAAAGGGGCCACTGACAGAAACCTAGCTGAGAGAGGGCTGGCCAGAAGCCCCGTGAGACCTCAACTAACTCACCTCCCGCTCCTTTCTGCCCAGGCATCCCCCACTCCCTAGACTCCCTACTTTCTGCCTCAGTGAGCACCCCCAAGTCTGGGAAGTGGGCCAGCTAGGGTAGTGAGGATCCCAGAGGAGAACTACTTTAAGATTCCTAAGGTCTGTGATGGAAAAATGAACAAGAAGTCCCATTTCCCCACTTACACAATGTGTGGCCATAGCCAATTAATTCTTTTGAACTTCGGTGTTAAGTGGGTCCCAACCCTGTCATGGGGTTGTTGTGAGTCAAAGGCAATACTGCCTATGTGTGAGGTACTTCGTAAAGACCAGAAAACTGTAAGATATGATACTGAAGTCTGAGAATAATCTGTAGGCTCAACGGGTCTTTTGATCCTGAAGGTGGTTCAAAGAGCAGGAAGCTTCCCTGGGCCTTCAGAGAAACGCTCTGTCATGCATACAATTTTGGCCCTCCGATGGTAAACAGGGGTGGATGGGTGTGGACGAGATGTAAAACGTTGTGTGACATGAAATCTCGAAATGTGCACATGCTGATCCCTCCTGGTTGTGAAATGCTTGGAGCTGAGGCCTGGCGTCCAGAGACGCCTGGACAGTTGTGTGAGTGGAGAAAGCAGAGCCCATGAGTTTCTGAAGCTGTCCCGACTTCTGCTCACAGCTCCAGGAAGGTCTGGAAGGGGGCATCCCTTCTTGCCCAGCATTCTGGCCCTTCACACAGCAGCTAACCCTCCAAACAAAACCGTGATCTGTTATTACCAAGTGAGGCACATGGTAGATAGTTTACCCACAGCTCAGACCCACCCACTGGACCCCCACCCAGTTCCTGACCCTCTCTGTCTTCCACCCAGTCGTGACCCCACTGGATATCTAACCCTAAAACTTCTGCTCCTGAAGCCCTAGAACCAAAGTTCCTCTCTCCTGCCACCTAAACATTCAGGCCATGGGAACCAGACCCTAGAACCTAAGTTTATTTTTGCTAAAAACCCATTTGCTGTGGAGTTTCATAACCATGCAGGCCACTGGTCAGAGGCCTTCAACATCAGTGCCCCAAACCCCAGGCACAGTCCTTTCTTCCAGTTTCCGTGTGGTTCTCCCACAAATGTGGCCTGGTAGGAAGGGCAAGGTGGGACATGGAGATGGTGAAGCCTCATGATTAGCCTGGGCTCTGGGGTATCGGCTGAGGATGGGTTTGAATCCCAGCACTGTTACTTTCTAGCTCCGTGACCTTGGTGGAAATTGTTAAAGTTTACCTTCTTGAACTTCATTTTCCTCAAGGGTAAAACCAAGGCAAGAACACCTGTTTTAGGGCCCCTGTGGGGCTCGTGGCATGTGGGCAAAATTCCTGGACTGACTCCTCATGCCATAAGCTGTAGCTATGCCATTTTAGAGATGAGGAGACAGGCTCAGGATCGCCGTTTGCCAGTGGCAAAGCCAGTGTGTTTGAATCCTGGTTCACCCTAGTGGGCTACTCAAGCAAATGCGATGGAGGAAATACAACCGCATGGAAGACCCTGGGGCTTCTCAATACCTGTTCTTAAGAGCTCCTGTCAGGGATGAAGCCAGGATGCCAGTCTTGGGTCTCTCACTGACTTGGCTGGCCATTGCTGGCCAGGGACATCACTTCAGAGCCTTGGGGCCATTATGATTAGGGGAGAGAGGAGGTTTTGGCCCAGACCAGGCACACTGCAGAGATGGGGGCAGGAAGGATTTGGACAGAAGCAAGGAGAAGGACTTCTTCCCTTCCTCACATAAATATATACCTTCTACCTTCCTGTGTCTGCTGGTAGAGGATAAGGTGGTATGGCCAGACTGCAGAGCTGATGGGCAATATTTATCAAATTCGATCAAACCATACCCTGTGACCCAGCAGTCCAAAATGAAGTCTCATAGAGGCCCGTAAGGGCCTGGCTCCTCAGAGTGGTCCCACCAGGACCAGAAGTATAGGTATCCCCTGGGAGCTGGAGAGAAATGCAGAGTCTCAGCGCCCCCCCCCCACCGCCAGGCCTGTGGAATCAGAGCCTGCATTTTAACAAGATCCCAGGTGATATGCACGCAAATGTTTGAGAAGCGCTGCATAAGGGGACGTATTTGAGAGGGATGATTGTACTATTGGTGGTGGCAGGAGATGGGAAAGGTAACATAAGGTGGATGAACACAGCAGTTAGGAGAGGAAGCTGTACGCATTGATCTCGAAATCCTAGCACTGAGTGAAAAGAAACTTGAATGAGAATACAATTCCTTTTACACAAATTTAAAATGTATGCCAGCAAAACTTCTTTTTTTTCCCCTAGAACACGTGAAAACAAAAGATAAACAGAAAGGAATGGCCGACTCTAGGGGCAGACAAGGGGGAGTGTAGTATACAGATAAAAGGGAAGTGAGGGACCTTGGCATCATGAACGTCATTCCTGAAATTCCTTTAAATGTAGATAGAGTCACCCGTTTAGAGTTAAAAAGCTTAAAAATGCAAGCCTGGGGCAAATGAACAGGCTGGAATGAAGGAGTTCTAGGCCTTTCTGATTTGGGCCAAGAAAGGAGAGCCGCCCAGTTGGCCTGAGTGACCTGGACGGTTAGGTCGGTGTCTTTGCTTGGCCTCCCGCACCGCGGCCCGCAGCCTGCTCTGATGGGGGTGGCGGTGGGGGTGTCGTGGGCACCCGGTCACCCGCGTGGCCTGACCAGGATAATCAGATCGGGCGGGGCAGGATGGACGGGAGCCGAGGAGGCGTCAGCCGCCAGGGCCGTCGCATCTAAGAGAGCAGAGAGGGAGCCACAGGGCATCCACATATGCTGGGGCGCACCTAGGAGCGGGAGCGTCGGGTACGACTCTCCTCCGTCCCAGGTGCAGAAAGCACCGAGTGGGAGCGATTGGGACGGAGGGTCCGAGAGGGCGGCGTCAAGGGAGATCTGGGGGCGGGGGGCACCGCTTGAGACAGTTGTCAGTGGCCACCCTGCGGAAGGTTGAGGGGGTCCCTGGAAGGAGGAGGTGTGCGGCGCGAGAGGATCCTCTAAGCGCCAGTTGCGGGAAGCCGAGAGGGGGCGCTCTCCCGCAGACTCGCGTGTGCAGGGGAAAGCGGGTCCCGGCTCCGGGGTGTGGGGAGCGGCTGTCCTCACCGAGAGGCCACAAGGGGATAGGGTGGAGACCCGCTCCTGCAGGGAGGGGGAGGTGGTCCGCGCCGCGCCGGGAGGTCACTCCGGGAGCAGAGCCAGGTGTGGGGCACTGCGCAATTCGCTCAGGTTGGGGAGAGGGGCCGGGGCGACGGCTGGAGGGCGTCCAACCGGGCGCGTTGACCGTGCGGGCGGAACGAGGCGGTCAAGGGCCTGAGGCCGAGAAGGAAATGCTAAGCCAAGCTGGGGATCGGAGGGCTGTGGGCACCCACAAAAGGAAGGTGCTAACCATCCCGGGGAAGTCAGCACCCCGCGGAATCGCAACCGGCGGAGCCGGCGACCGACGTTGCAAGGCGCGCCCCCTAGCGGAGATCTCCCTCTCTGGCAGTGAAGAGTCAGGTTTGGTTGGGGTGTGGGGAGGAAGGGAAGGGAGCGGTCTCTCACAGGCCGGGACAGTAGCACTGGGGGCGAGGGTGAATCCTGGCGTCAGAGAGAGGCATCTTCGGCCCACTGCCGTCACGGTAGGGGCTTCTTGGACTCCTCACTCCCTTCCCCAAATCTCCAGCCTGGGTCCCCCAGCCAGAAACCCAGGGGCATCAAGGGCAGAGCTCATGAGAATCCTGGAGAAGGAAGGGTCCAATCTAGCCGGCATCACTGTGTCACGGGACTCCTGGCTCACCCCTAGTCTATGATCCCATTCCTCCTGGGGGAAAGAGCTGTCTTTTGTGAGGTTTTGTCAGGCTTTGGATGCAACAAATTTTAAACAAGTTTTTTTTTTTTTTTCCTGCTGAGCAAACATCTATATTCTGTCTTGCTTCCTTTATACTGCCTCCTTACCTTTCAAATATATTCCATCTTGGGCACCTGGGTGGCTCAGTTGGTTAAGCGACTGCCTTCGGCTCAGGTCATGATCCTGGAGTCCCGGAATCGAGTCCCACATCGGGCTCCCTGCGCAGCAGGGAGTCTGCTTCTCCCTCTGACCCTCTCCCTTCTCGTGCTCTCATTCTCTCTCTCTCAAATAAATAAAATCTTTAAAAAAATATTTTCCATCTTAAAAATAAAAGAACTTGATTTTAGATCTTGTTGCTTCTACCATATTTTCTGGCCTGTGTCCTTAAATGTCTAACAAAAAACCCACAATATTTAAAATTGAGATGTGATACTGCATACTTGCAAAATATTTGTAACATATATGAAAGTCATAAAGTCCTCTAAACTGAAGGATACCACAACCATCTAATAGCCAGATGTTATCAGTATGTTACCAGTCCTCTCCTTGTGCATTCATCATCTAACTGCAAGCTGGGGTTCCCAGACAATGGCATATGGAATTGCTATTCACAGGCACCTTTGACTTGATCTTGATTTAAAAGGAACTTCTTCTAAGGTGCCACTATTAAGAATTACGTAGGTTACTGTAGAATTTTGGTAGTTTACTTTTTTTTTAATTATTTCTCTTTTTTTTATTTTTTTAAGGTTTTATTTATTTGAGAGAATGAGAGAGAGAGAGAGAGAGAGCATGAGAGGGGAGAGGGTCAGAGGGAGAAGCAGACTCCCTGCCGAGCAGGGAGCCCGATGTGGGACTCGATCCCCGGACTCCAGGATCATGACCTGAGTGGAAGGCAGTCGCTTAACCAACTGAGCCACCCAGGCGCCCTTGGTAGTTTACTTTTATCCAGCTAAGCAAACTCCTTTCCATTCCTGATTTGCTAACAGTTTTGATTGTGAATGGATATTGAATGAAAGAATTGTGTTTTTTTTTTTCTGCATCTACTACAAGGACAACTGGTTATTTTCCTTTTTTCTGTTTATATGGTGAATTACATTTTTAGGTGTCTTAATATTGAACTCTTCCTAGAAAAAACCCCATCCTGGTTCCTTTTTAATTGACATATAATTCACACACACACATTTTACATGCAAGTAAAATGCACAAATCTTGGGGGTACAGCTCAATGAATTTTTATATACTTGTATGTGTGTCCATGTAACTGCCACCCAGATCAAGATATAGAACTTTTCCATCATCCCAGAAGGTTCCATTATGTCCTTTCCCAATCAATACTTTCCCCCATAGGTAACCTG